AAAAAATTAGTTGAAAAAATACCTTTTTAAATCTAAAAATGATTTCTAAAAAGGCCCATTAATTTAGGAAGATATGTTTTCTTTCAAAGGAAAAAAGGCATTTCCACTTTAGTCATCATGGTTAGAAAGCTTAAGACCTGACTATGACACAAATTTAATAGCCCCCTATTTTAAATTAATAGAAGAAGGCCAAATGCCAAGTGGTTCAAGGTGGAAAAGAAAGTAGAGCATATAACTTTCATACTTCAGTGTTGACATAAGTAACCAAACATTCTCATAATAATAGCTATTTTAGAGCATTTTGCCTTTTTTGCCTTATGTAGCTTTTTAAAATAAGTTTATCAAATATCTGATAACAATAAATCATCATCTAAGCCCAGAAATTTCAATTGCAGTTAAAAGAAAACTTTTTTTAACAAATAAATCAAGATTATGGACTACTACAGATTCTTGATTCAGTGTTTAGAAAAGAATAATTTATCTTTTATCTATTTTTTGTAATAAGCAACTTTTAAAGTTCACTTTCTGGAATCTCATTTAGCAATTTAAATTAGGAATGAATAGCTTAGATAATAGTTTAATGTGGTCTTTCTTTTTGTAAACATGCAGTGGGTTTAATATAATTCTTTGCCTTACACATTTGTGGGTCTGGTATTTTTGTTAAGCAAATGGATTGATCTAGTTCAGTGTCACAGTGAAATAGAAGTTGCATAAATTCTTACAAAAGTGAAACTGTGGTTTTAAGATCTTGCTTTTGCTAGCGGAATCAAAAGTAGTTGTCCTTGTTAAAATGTCTTAGGGTATGGGACATTTTATTTAAGAAAAAAAATGAAAAGAAAAGAAGAGAAAAGGAAACAAAAGAAAAGAAAAGAAAAACACAAACAACCCTATGGTGATGAAAGTTTCCTCCCCCTTTGTAAAGCACAGCAGAGGTGGCAGATTCTGCCATCACACAACAAAGAACCAGAGTGAACCTGAGATGGTGAAATAAAATGTAACACCAACAAGAAGGGCCATAGATAAATAGCAAAAGAACAAACTTGCCACAAAAAAACCATTGACATTTCTCTTAGAATCCTGGCTATGTGCTGTGGCCAGCAATATTGGAATGTTTTCCTAGAGTTAAAAGGAGAACCTGAAGCAAGTCTGTTCAGAATTTACAAAGTGTCTGAATAACACGGACAGTGTTTTGATAACACATTTTAGTGGGGGGTGAAAATAGTAGCATTTATTGGAGCATTTATATAGGCCCCCATGGTTGAATGGGGGCTAGAGGTGAGGGTGGATGGAAGCAAACCATATATCACTGCATTCATCTATAATTTACCACTATAATTTATTCATACACATGTGTATATATTTGATGCATAATTGTGTTGTCATCCCAAATGCTTCCTAAGTTTTGCTTTTAAAAGTTCCATTCACTCATAATGGTTCCCCTCAAAGAGGAGAAATAAGTAGTTACCTGGTTAAATTGTCTATAATATTGTGTTATCAGAATGATGATGGCCATAGCCTCCAACCTTAAGTCCTGAGATCTTTAATATGCTTGTATACAGGCTTTTTCTTGCTTCCTTATAGCCCTCCAAGGTACCTTCTTGTTCTGCCTGAAGGTGAAAGATGAAAAGACTTGAATTATTGCAGTCAGCATTTGGGTGTCAGAGGTTCTTCTCAGTATGTTGATGTTTTTGTTCAATGTATCCCTGTCAGCTGAACCACATAAAACCAGCCACCTTTCAATAAATGTCTCATGTGGATTTCATGAAGCTTGGGGTGTAATTGAAATCAAACAGCAAACAGACTAGAAGGCTCTGTTATTTGCTCACTCAGTATAAGAAAGGTGCTGCCTGACATGGTTGTTGGAAACACTGCCTTCGCTTTCATTTCTGTTCCGAGTTTTGGAAACGAATAGTTGGATTTTAAAGTGTGGTCCAGACAAAGACAAATATAGTTTTGGTTGTTTCATTTATTTTTAATGTTTTCTTATTGGTATGTACTATTGAGCTAACAACAGGAAGGACAATTCCATGTATTTGTTCTTCTGTATCTTTTCAGACCTTTTAGTACCTGCAGAGGTAATAATAAAATGTGATTAGTTAATGGACACTGAACCATTAAATAATATCCCTTTGTCACTAAGGAGCTAGAAAAAGAATTGTGGAATTGAAACAGGCTTTTCATCATTTGAAAGAGGAAGTTGTTATATATGTTTATAAATGTGATAAAATACGGTATGTAATACCATATTATATATTTTTCCATGTTCCAAAAATGCTGGGTTCCAGAATAGCTTTGTAAAACCTGTATTTTCATTTTCATTGACATTCCCTTTGCTTTTCCATTTGTAGGATACGTGACTGGGATAAAATAATACACTGATCGGGGAGGTGCGGAAATATAAACTTCATTTTGTTGCCCCAACCATCAGTCCAAGTATATATATATATATATATATATATATATATATATATATATATATATATATGTGCCATATATATACTTAATAATTTGATACCCCCTACGCTTTCAGGAGCTTGCTTTAGGAATGGAATACAATCAGCCCTTTCTGATATGACGCGGTGGACAGCTGGTCTGAGTTATTTGCGCCAGAGTGGGTCAGAAGGATGCCTGTTGCCTCAGATGGCATTATGCCACACTCAGCTTTTCCCTGGCTGCTTCGAAAGCGTTTTGAGGGACGCCGAGGCCGGTTTCTGGCTGCTTCAAAGTGCAAAACCAACGTGTAGTAGGGCACCTTATCTGCAAATAACGTGAGATTCAGTCTGGCACCTATTTTTTTTCCCCCTCAGACATCCTGTAGCTAGGTCAAAACGGAGGACGAGGAGCTCAGGAAGCGTAACAGCTTTCGACAACGCAGGACTAAGTCTCCAGCGCCTCGCCGTTCCTTCAGTTCCTTGAGCGCGCGTCCTGCTCTCGCAGTCTCCACGTTGAAATCTATGAGGTCTACCAAAGGGTTGCATGATTTGAAAATCAATTTTCAAGACTTCACTGGGTCCATTGAAAACAAAAGCGGAGGGGGGGGGGAGGGCGCATAGGGTGTACTTCAACGTGATCGGAGCAAACAGTAGCTCTAAAGAAGAACTAAACGGATCAATCAAAATATAGAAACTGTTGGCTGCACGAGTTGGGTGCTAGGTTTCTGGGGATTTACTTCCGGGCAACTGTGGACCAAAACTTACTTGGCCCGGGCCAAAGCCCAGTGGTCTTAATTTGGTCTTCTGCCCCCGGGCTGTGCTTTGACCCTGAAAAGCTTGGCAAGTTCAAGTTTTCAGCACCATCCCCAAACAATGATAAATGTCCTGCAGCATCCAAACCCTGGACCGAATCTCTGACCCAGACGTGAGGATGCTGGTGCTGCTCTGGTTTGAACTCAGATTGGAACGCTTCCCGTTGTTCTACACTGTCACGAACAATCTCAGCAAATCCCGCGACCACCTCATCTGTTGTAGGAAAAAAGTTTCCCGTGTGATCGCATTCGGTCGGGACACAGAGTCCTGACAGCTCAGCCGGAAAATGAACTCCCGGAGCGTTTAATGGAGGCAGGAAGATTCAGAGTTCTTATTCACAATGAAATGTCCCCTCTTCTGTAATGATAAAGCAATACAATATAACGGCGCCGTTCCTGACTGCGGAAATGCCAGGAAGAAACGGGTAGCTGGGCAAAAGAGTTTAATTCAATATCAAACTGATTGTTTCACCAATTATTCTGTCTTTTGTATTGTGCTGCAGAGAAGAGGCAGAGGGGATCTTAACCGTGCAGCTGCTAGGGAATCTTTGCTTCTTGGTCAGGTCCCAGAGAAGATGTCACTGGCGGACAGGGTGGGAAGGATCCCGGACCCAGAAAAGCCGAGCAACAGGGATTTAAAAGTGTGGGCTGGACAAGTGACAAGCCTCCTGAGAAGCTTGTGGAGGGTAGGCTCATTTCATTTCATTCGTTCCTGCTTGGTGAATCAGAAGCCCACCTTACTCTAGCGGATAGCTTGTGTATTCGAGGTTTAAGGGGCTCTCGCCATCCGCAGAATCTCAGAAGCTGGGCATGAAGGTTTTTGGTTTTGGTTTTTTGCCATAACTCCTTCCAGTTTATCAAAGGCGAGACTCTTCCCCCCGCCCCTCAAAACGTGTATCTTTGTGTTAAAGATATGGGAAATCTCCGTAAGGAGAGCGGTGCGCCGTTAGAGACATTGCTTGGATTGCCCTCCAGCTCGGGAAGCCAGAATCTTTCTCCCTGCTGCTAGATAGCAGAGATGTTCTCTCTTGCTCCTCTAATTCCTGCTGGTCCGTTCCGTTTCCCATAGCCAGCAAGGAGACGACTCCTATAAGGCCTCAAACACTTTCCCCCTAAACTCCAGTGAAATACAGAAACCAGAGTTGCTTTATCACAGTGGGACCGGGTACCCTAAACATCACCCATCATCAACAACCACAGGCTTCAGGAAAAGAAAGTCGCAAGCTAATTGATCCAATTAATAAATGACTAAGGGAATTAGTGTCACCTCCGCCAGCCAATAAAATGTTCCCCCAAAGTGTGGGTCTTCGAAGCCCCTCCCTGGCCGCACGCATATAAGCAGCTAGCGGCCGCGGGAGAGGTTCCAAATGGTCAAGTGGATCAATGGTCTGGCTGCAGGAGACAGAACCGAGAGACGTGGGCTGGTGGGTGGATAGAAATAGAACATCTAAGTCCTCCCCTGCCCTGGTGTGAGTGTACAGGGTCCACAGAGGCAGGACGGACTGAGAGGCGAAAGGAGTGTGTGCATCTTGGTCAGTATCCACCTTATGGACAGACTCAGTGCGCTCTCCGTACGCAAAGGCGGATTCGGGCGCACGCCGGAGCTGCCCGGTAGTTCGCAGGTGGGTAGCCGGAGAGCGGGAGGGAGGGGAGTCACCTTCCCCTCGGAAGAGGGCGCTGGCTGCCCCGTCCCGCCTTTATAATAAGGCCTCGGGACGGGAGGTGGCAGCCAGCTGCCGTCGGCAATTTGCATAGCATGCAGTTGGGCGAGCAGCTCCTGGGGAGCTCCGCCAGCCTGCCCGGCGCGCGCTTCTACCCGCTGGAGGGCGCGGGCGGCGGCGGCGGCGGGCGCGGCGGTCTCCTCTCGGGCTCGGCCTCCTCGCCCCGGAGGCTGGACTTAGACAAGGCTCCCAAGAAGTTCCCGGGCAACCCTTCCTGCGAGGCGGAAGCCGCGGAGTCCGCTGCCGCCAGGCCGGGACCCCCGGCGGCCATGCTCAGCGACGCGGACTCCGGGGACACCTTCGCTGCGGCGGTGGCCAAACCTGGGCCCCTGGACGGCCGTAAGAACTCCCCGTGCGGGGAGGAGGAACTGTCCTCCTCCGCCGCCGCCGCCGCGCGCTACTCCATGGACAACCTGAGCTCCGAGCGCTACTACCTTCCGTCCCCCGGGCCGCAGGGCTCCGACCTGCCCGCGCCCTGCTCGCTCTTCCAGTACCCGGCCGCAGCCGGGGGGCCTCACGGATCTCTCTACCCCGCTTCCAACGGCGCGCGTTACCCCTACGGCTCCGTGCTGCCCCCCGGTGGATTCCCCGCGGCGGTGTGCCCCCCCGGAAGGGCTCAGTTCGGCCCGGGAGCGGGCGTCGGCGGCGGCGGCGCGGGCGGCAGCGGCGGCGGGGACGGAGGCCCGGGCGCCTATCAGTACGGCCAGGGGTCTCCTCTCTACGGACCGTACCCTGGAGCCGCGGCGGCGGGACCTTGCGGAGGACTGGGGGGCCTCGGGGTGCCCGGGGCCGGCTTCCGCGCCCACGTCTACCTGTGTAACCGGCCTCTGTGGCTCAAATTCCACCGACACCAAACTGAGATGATCATCACGAAACAGGGCAGGTGAGCGCTGGGAAGGGACCCGGGGTGCGGGGTACAGGGCTGGCCGCGGGAGGCTCGAGGGATGCTCCTGCTAGCTCTGCGTTCTGTCCGGGACCCGGGATTGCGGGACTGGCCGCGGGGGCGCAAGGGGTGTTCCTGCTCGCTCTGCGCCCTGTCCCGGACCCGAGGTGCGGGGCACAGGGCGGGCTGCGGGAGCGCGAGGGGGTTTGTCCTGCTCGCTGTGCGCCCTGTCCCGAATGCTCTTCCCGCCGGGGGTCTGGCGGGGACGGCGTGCTTCTCCAACCGCACCTTTCTCCCTGCCCAGTGATGGTCACACTGCTCCCTACCCCCCCCCCCCTCCGCATCCTCACCTGAACTGACTGGGGGTGTGGGTGGAAATGAACTTTGGGGCTCATCTACAAAGGACTCGAGAGATCAGTAGGCTCCCCGCGAGTGGGTTTGCATTTCCTTAAGCCTGCGGAGTAGGAAAGTCGCCCGAGCGGACTTGTGTTTGGAAGCCGGGGGCTCCAGTGTTGCGTCGGGCAGATGAGCATGAGGAATAGATCACTGGTGTAGGAAGCTTGGTTTAGGGGGTAGGTAGGCAGGCCCTGGGGCCAGGACCTGGGTCGGGTTCTGAGAACATGGAAGTCCCAAGTTACTTCTGGAAAGGAGAAGGGTGGGCGTTGGGAGAGGGGTACGCAAACGAACACACGTCTCCCGACAATTGTGCATTTAAAATTAATTTGAACGTTTAGCGGAATAGTAACAGACTGCTGAAAGAGTTGAGGAATTTGGGAAGCATGTGTATGAGAGAGATACTGTCCTCGGGGGAATTACTTCGGGGTTTTAAGAATCGTCGGTTCGATCGTTTCCAAATAGAGTCGTGCCACTCTCCCTGCTTTCTGTTCACTGCAACCTTCTCAACCCTGTCGCCAGTGCCTACCTGGAAGAACCAGGGAGTGTCCTGGCGCGAATTCTCCAGCATCTGGATTTAAGTCACTCATCTTGATTCTTTTCCCTTGCACAGGCGGATGTTTCCTTTTTTGAGCTTCAACATAAACGGACTCAATCCTACTGCGCACTACAACGTGTTCGTAGAAGTGGTTCTGGCCGACCCTAACCACTGGCGCTTTCAGGGGGGCAAGTGGGTGACCTGCGGCAAAGCCGACAATAACATGCAGGGTGAGGCTTCCCCGGCAGGGAAGAAATCCCAATCCTTACCTCTTGACGACTCACATTTAAATCTAACCTCTTTCCACCCCACCTTCCCCCTCCAATCTGGGGTTTAGAGAAGTGAGTGTAAGTTTCTTCGGGTGATTGTTTATAAGAGTAAACAATCACATTTCAGTCATAGTCTTGTGTACCTGTCACAGGTGTTTAGAATATTTCACAGTGACCCTCTTCCACTTCCCTCCCCCTAGGTTTAATAAACTAATAGTCATCTAAGCTTCTGGTTGGAAATGGCTCCTGACATGTTCCCATTAGCTAGAGAAATTCCTGACTAAGCTTGAGTTCACCGAGAAAAGTTCCACCACTCTCCAGCTTTAGAAGGTCCCAAATTAACCTTTAAGAGTCATTTTCTGTTGACTCTGTTTTTAAGTTTTGAGATACTGTCCAAGGGAAGGGCAGCTAGAAGCACCGGGAACCAGAGAGGAATATCAGTGGAATCCTGCTGCTCTCCCTGATCTCTGTAAGCAGCTATTCCTGGAAGGATTATGCTGCAGATCTGGCTCTTATATCTTGTTCATAGCTAAGAGACATCTCTCCCCTATCTCCTTCCACAAATACCCCGATATGCTGAGGTTATGTGTTTTGTTTCATTTTCTCTTAGGCAACAAAATGTATGTTCACCCAGAGTCTCCTAATACTGGTTCGCACTGGATGAGACAGGAGATTTCTTTTGGGAAATTAAAACTCACCAATAACAAAGGCGCAAATAACAACAACACTCAGGTAGTGGGGCAAAAGAAGAGGGAGGGTTTTCTGGCTGTTGGTCTCCTTTCTAAGGAGAACTTATACTCTTTACACTGTGTTTATAATTTTTAAAATTGTGACCTATTTGCTCATTTTAAAAAAAATTTACTTTTCTTATTTTTACGTCCCTACTGGATTTCATTAGCAGTGAGTTTACTACTAGAAACAGAAATACTGAAATCTTTGGAGGGGGCACTTAGAAAGTCTTTCAAACACAGTGCTGTTTTAAGTTTCAAAAATGCCAGTGGTGAGATCTTGAAAACAGTGAGCAGGTTGGAGTCTCATCTCCAAATTTGGCAACTCTTTTTCTGTACATTTCCAGATGATAGTCCTACAGTCTTTACATAAATATCAACCACGACTGCACATTGTTGAAGTTACAGAGGATGGTGTAGAAGACTTGAATGAGCCCTCAAAGACCCAGACTTTTACCTTCTCAGAAACACAGTTCATTGCAGTGACTGCTTACCAAAACACTGATGTAAGTACCCTAAACACCCCAAGAATCTCTAAAGCTAAGTCCAGTAAGCTGAAAACACGAAATGACTCTCCCTTCTATCTCCCCTATCTAGATTACTCAACTAAAAATTGATCATAACCCCTTTGCAAAAGGCTTCAGGGACAACTATGATTCGTAAGTATAGTTTTCATTTATACTTTATGGTCAACCTTTATTTTTTCTTTTTCTCTTTTTCATTTTTTGACATGATCACTTTGCTGAGGGTATTATTCTAGGAAGAATTTTCAGATTTTGCATTTTATCTATTTATATTTTTGCATATTGTTCATCTCAACTAATTGCATTTTAGAATTTTCACGGAAAACTTTCTTTAACTGCTAACCAAATATTAATGGCTTAAATACTGAGCACTTTTGCCCCCTCCCCACATTTGATTAGTGATTTAAATTTTTAAGCATCTGTATTATGTGTATCCTCTTTTTTCATTTGGTCCAATTTTTTATTTTCACAAGAACAGATACATATTTTTAATTCCTACTTTTTTACATTAAAAAACTCAACACTAAGAATTTATTTTTTCACACCATCCAACAAAAAAGCCTTGATGTTTAAAATGAGCGGTCTATTTTATTTTATTTTATTTTTTGGGTCCCGTCATGGGGCCTGAATTCTGGGCCTAGGCACTGTCCCTTAGCTCTTCAACTCAAGGCTAGCGCTCTACCACTTGAGCCACAGTGCCACTTCCAGCTTTTTTCTTTTTGCTTATGTGGTGCTGAGGAATGGAACCCAGGGCCTCATGCATGCAAGGCAAGTGCTCTACCACTGAGCCACCATGAGCGGTCTAACACCACATCTATTTTCTTGCCAAGTAGAATTGCTCTTAGTTCTTTGTATGTAAGGACTTGCAAAGGCAGATTTTCTGTAGCTTGAATACCTAATGTTGGATAATTTTTCCCACGACCCAGAAGTCCATCCCCTGCCTCAGTTTCCTCTTGTCTGAAATACCAGCCTTCTTAAGACAACTGACAGGTCAAAGCGTTTTTCATTTCTGGGAGGTTTGGGAACAAGATTATTTTTTATTTTTAATTTTTTAAGTGTTTCTCTTTATATTGTAGCATGTACACGGCTTCAGAAAATGACAGATTAACTCCATCTCCCACGGATTCTCCTAGATCCCATCAGATTGTCCCTGGAGGACGGTACGGAGTTCAAAACTTCTTCCCGGAACCCTTTGTCAACACTTTACCTCAAGCCCGATATTACAATGGAGAGAGAACTGTGCCACAGACCAATGGCCTCCTTTCCCCACAACAGAGCGAAGAAGTGGCCAATCCTCCCCAGCGGTGGCTCGTCACGCCTGTCCAGCAACCTGGGACCAACAAACTAGACATTGGTTCCTATGAATCTGAATATACTTCCAGTACCTTGCTCCCATATGGCATTAAGTCCTTGCCTCTCCAAACATCCCATGCCCTGGGGTATTACCCTGACCCAACTTTCCCTGCAATGGCAGGGTGGGGAAGTAGAGGTTCCTATCAGAGGAAGATGGCAGCAGGCCTACCATGGACCTCCAGAATGAGCTCTCCTGGGTTCCCTGAAGATCAGCTCTCCAAGGAGAAAGTCAAAGAGGAAATTAGCTCTTCTTGGATAGAAACACCTCCTTCTATCAAGTCTCTAGATTCCAATGATTCAGGGGTATATACCAGTGCTTGTAAGCGAAAGCGGCTGTCTCCTAGCACCTCAAGTAATGAAAATTCTCCTTCCATAAAGTGTGAGGACATTAATGCAGAGGAGTACAATAAGGACACCTCAAAAGGCATGGGAGGATATTATGCTTTTTACACAACTCCCTAAAATATTATTTGAACTTCCTGAACATTAACGAACATTTGGCAGATGGACTTTATGGTGTTTTATGTTGTCTTCTTTGCTAGGTTGCCAAAAAGACATTTGCCTTCCAACTTGATGCATCCTATTTTGTGCAATTCTCCAAAAGAAGGTGCCAAAGCTTTTTGATTGCTGCAGGTAACTGAAACAAACCTAGCCAATTTTTTTTTCTTTGCAGAATAAAGTTAATGGAGGAGTTTCAAATGTTTTTTAAAAAAATCAAAGGTTATTCATTGTTTGGGACTTATTTATTGGAAACACTATAAATAACCAGAGACGTTAACTTACGGAGATTGAGTGTCCAGAAATATCAAATGAATTACAACCTTTGCCTCTTTACCTGTAAGACTTTAAGCAGATAGAAGCTGTGTGTTAAGCTGTTCTGCTTCCGGAAGAAATAGGCTGGGCCCTAAGCACAACAGGGGACTTCCTGCTGTCACCTTCGTGAAGGGACTAGAGATATAATGCCTGGGAATCAAGGAGTCTTTTGTGAAAGTGTTACAGTCTTAACCTGACTTTGATTCCTTGCAGGCTTTTGGAACAAGCCATGTTCTTCTTTCTAGACTTCTACTGTGTGTTGGAAGGGCCTGTAGGACTTAAGAAAGAATGAGGGAGAGACAGAAAAACAGAGTGGGAGAAGGAATTAAAAAAAGAAGGCAGAGGAAGAATTTAAAAGTGTACAATGTGTGTTTAGCTACTTTGTAGAATAATGTGGAATATATTGTACAATTAGGCTACATAGGTATTTGAGACAATGTAAAATTGGTGCTTTGGCTTTGTAATGAAGTTGTAAATTACCTTAACAACAGTTGCAGTGGTATGGGGAACGTTTCATCATTTCAGTGACATTTGGGAATATTGCTTACTTCTTAGGTAGTTAAGAATGTATTCAGCTACTCTGTACTAACTTGAGCCACAGTTAAGAAAATCCCAATTTCATCCTCTTCGTTGGCCTCCCCACCCCCTACTTTGGTAATGTGAAAAAAAACAAAACAAAACTACAATCTGATGCCACATTTCCTATAGGCTTTTTAGAGGTCTTGGATTTTTATGTACAGTCTTAATCATTTTTAATAAATGTGGTTCAATAAGGAAATGGGCACAGCTCTGCTTTCTCTTCCTGTGTATTTTATGCTGTGTTAAAAAACCTCAGTTTACTTTTTTAGCCCATGCTTTTCCAGCAGTGTGAACACTGCTTATACTTACTGGGTCCCCTTCCCCCACATGGAAGAGTCCAAAATCTTTTACCTGGAAGGTGGTAGTAGTGAGGGGGTAGGGTGGAGATGCTTTTGTTCTCTCCTTTTTTCTCCTAGAAGATAAATGGAGCTATTTCCTGACCCTACTGGGATTTCTGAACAATGAATGTTGGTTGAGAATGTAGTGGAGAAGAGTGTTTGCAGCTCAAGATGCAGTCGGCCTACTGCAGACTTAATCCAAAACCTGGAAAACCCCCACACTTGACCCATAGTCACTTAGCCTTTTCCTGGATTTACTGGTGGCCACCAACTTTTGGGGTTATGTAAGTTCCCTGGGATCACCCACGTCCTTTTCAGTGCCTAGCCACTGGTGGGTCATTCACAAGTGTTTATAGCTAGTAATGGCTCTAATGCAGGCTGCCAGCCTTGGTCACTGCTGCAGGTGGCTCTTTGCTCTCAGACAAACTGGGTCCGGAGGCTAGTTCTGTGACACTAGCTAAAACTGGGGGTGGAGAGGATCTACAAATCCTCTGTTTTTACAGTCCCTCTTGTCCCACACACTGGTTCCCTACGAACAAGGTGTAGGACAGTGGTTTCTTTTGCTCTAAGATAACTTGTCTTGATTGCCAGGGAGGACACCAGGCATTCCATGCCCTGGCTCAAGTTTGTCAAAGTTAAACCAAGGAGTAAAGGCCTTTTGTGTCTGCCTCGCCTACCCTCCTCCCACAAGGCTCTGCTAGACATCCTACCAGGTTTATCAGCAGAAGGCTTAAAGCCCAGCTTGCAAACCCTTCTATCCTCCTTCTCACCTTGGGATAAAGGTCTGCCTGGGAGGGTCATTCTAACTGGGCAACACGGAAATGCAGCTGCTAAGAGGATTAGCTGCTGGGAAGTGAGTGATGAGCCAGGACCTCCTCCCCTTCTGCTCCTAATTAAAGCCATCAGGAACCTTTACCTGGACTGTACACTCTCCATTTCCTCCATCCTCCTGGGGCCAGAGCTTGTCCTATGCCATCAGTGGGGGCTCAACTTCAGCTCTGTTTCCAATGGTGCCTGTTTAAAAGTCTGGCGAAGCAGCTCCAACCCAAATTTTGCTGTAAAGCCAGCTTGAATGCTTTGGACATTTCTTTTCTTAGTATGTATTTATTGTGGATGACAGATTTGGACTCGGGACAGGGAAATGTGCAACCTTCCCAACTTGGTCAGCACTTTCCCAGTCCCTATGATATACCCAAGCCCAACTGTGGTGTATTGGGAAATGCTGCGGGATTTCAAAAAGTGTTCTATTTCTGACCTCTAGAAAGCCCCAAAATGCTAATCACAGGCAGGATAAAGAGGACTTTGCCTCTAGTCTATTTCAAGTCCTTTATATTTTTGCACTGTACAGTAAAAAGAACCCGGTACTTGTGAAAAGTCCCTCACAGTGTTTAATAGAAACGTAAGTGGCTGAGTGGCCCCAATTAACACCTTGTGATAAGGCATTCCTAAGATGGAGTGTCAGACACCAAATTGCGAAGAGATGTATCTAATTAATCCTCCTAGGGTGACACCGATAAACAAGACTCCCTTTAAATAAAGATCAAGTACTCAGAGACTGGTTTGTTTACTTTCTCTCCAGGGGTCCTGCAGTTTGCTGGCCCTGAGCTTGCTGGGTCCCTGGCCTTCTGGGTGGAGACACTGGTCTTGGGGGTCTGCTAGCTCACAAGGTTTAGCTTTTCCTAGATTTTTGCCGCAAACCCAATTAATCTGCAACAAAATTAAAGCTGCAACAAAAAAAGGGAAGAATAGTACGAAAAACCCCACACCTGACCAAGCATCAGAAATGCTATCATTTTGTGTCATTTTACATCACCAAATAGTTCTGGTGGTTTGGGACAAACAGGGAAAGGTATAAAAAATGCAACCTAAATCCCCCGCGGGCATGTTTTCTGTTTCAGGGAGAATCCGGAACAAGACCTTTCTTCAACTCACACAGTCCTGGAACATGTTAGCTCCCTGTATTTGCTTCAAAGTCTTGAAGTCAAGAATTCCTGGGGTGTAGAGTAAGCTCTTCTGGGAGTAGGGTGAGAGCATCACCAATGACTGACAAAAGCAGGAAGAATCTGAAAAGTGTTTGGACAGGAGAGGAAGCTGCAGATTGAGTTCAACATATTCTTTGGCCGTGTTTAGGTCCCAGTTTGGAGCCAGTTTTTCAGCACCATCTTATCTCCCAACACTTCATTGGTGTCCGGGTTTCTTTCCTTTTAAGTAAGCTTTCTTTCCTTTTAATTCTTTGCTTTTAATTAAGCTTTACATCTGAGTAAAGGGAGGCTTACGCTCTTCTTTCTGCAGTCTCTCCATTCTTTCTCAAACATGGGCAGAGAAAGAATGCTGTTTAAAACACAAGCACACACACGCACTCACATACACACACACAGCAACAATAAACCAGAGTGACAGAATGAAAACTCTGCAGATGCCATAGAAGTGCTCTAGAGTTAAAAAAAAAAAAATCTTTCCCTCAACCTCTTAGATTTTATCGACATTCCGTGGTCAGTAAGCCGCAATGCAAAGTCACACCTTTTTAGCCTGCTTGGACACTGCTTTCCTCCAAGTATATCCTCCACTCTGCTACATGCAGACCCCAGATATTTAGCTTTTACTCTGTGGAAATTTCTAAGTAACCAGGAGATATTTTTTTAAAAGGTAGTTTGCAAAATAAAAGATTTAAAAATGAAACTGTAAAAAAAAAAACCATGTCGTGGATCTTGATTGTGTCTCCCTCTGAAATATACATCATCTTTCAAGTTCAGACTTTCAAATATGCTAGCTGCATTAGTTCAGTTTTAGGAGCCCAATCCAAGAAATCCATCTCTTTCTATCTATCATGTCAGATTAATTTCTGCCTCCAACAGAGACCTGGGCCAGCACACGGGCTTGATGTTTACATCACATGCAGCATAAAACAGAACACAATCTGGCTGAATTTCCTTCTGGGTGCTGGAGTTGTGAAGTTACAGAAACCTCTCCCTTCCCTCCCCTTCCCTTCCCTTCCCTCCCCTCCCCTCCCCTCCCCTCCCCTCCCCTTCCCTTCCCTTCCCTTCCCTTCCCTTCCCTTCCCTTCCCTTCCCTTCCCTTCCCTTCCCTTCCCTTCCCTCCCCTTCCCTCCCCTCCCCTCCCCTCCCCTCCCCTCCCCTCTCCTCCCCTCCCCTCCCCTCCCCTCCCCTCCCCCTCTCTCCCTACCTCCCTACCTCCCTTCTTCTTTTCCTTTTCCTCCCCTCTTTTTGTCCCTCCCACTCTCATTTCCTGATGGGACTCTGACAGTGGTGACCATGAAATTTTCCTTACTACACCTTAGAAGAAAAGTAAGCTTTTCTTGCACACACACACACACACACACACACACACACACACACACACACACACACACACACACACCTCTCTTCTGCTTGGGTAATGCTCTGCATGCCACTGAGAACATTTTTGGAGTCTGCAAAAGGAAGATTTAGCTGCACCAGATGTGAAAAAAACTCTCGGTAGTAGAGTAGTCCCCTAAGTATCCTTGTGTCAGATAAATTGCTATTGGGAAAGTGCAAATCACTGTTTATTTGAAGACGCACTCCTCAGTTTCTACCCCTTCTTAACTCTGCCTCCTTAAAAATGAACAAACGTGCTTTCTATTTCATTTATTTTATTATTTCGTTGGTTATGAGGCTTGAACTCAGGGCCTGCTGGCCCTGAGCTCTTTTCTCTCAAGGCTAGTGCTTTGCCACTTGTAGCCACAGTTCACTTCCAGTTTTCTGGTGGTTAATTGGAGCTAAGAGGCTCACAAACTTTCCTGTGTGAGCTGGCTTTGAGCAGTGATCTGCAGATCTCATCCTCCTGAGTAGCTAGGATTACAGGCATGAGCCACCAGCACCCAGCTCAAACATGCTTTGAAAAAAAAATTTTTTTTATTATTTTTATGTAGGGGTTGCCATTTAACAAAGCAGTTATGAATACAGTACATCTTTGTTAATGCCATCCCTTTCAACATTTCCACCCATGCATCCTCAATTTTCTTAATTTTTAAAAGATAGTTTATTTGTTGCCATTTAAGAAAGCAGTTTATATACACCATCTCCAGACTTAGCGGCTGGTTTGGAGACTCTTCCTTCTAAAATGTGGACAGCCTTCGCCATCTGGTGGCCATTAGAAGTAATAATCTCTTCAGCTAAATAAGGCAGCTCATCATTTTCATAACTGGGCCTGCTTTGTCAGGTCCAGGTCTACATTCTTTTAACAACAACAACACATTCAATATAATATATAATATATAAATATTATATATATCACTCTACTCTCACATTTCCTCCAAAAGCTTCTCCGCTTGGTGTAAAAAAGCAAACCAGATTTTCTGGTTCTAAAATCTCCAGTTTCTAGTTGCTTCTTAGGTTCACTTTCTCATTTGTGAATTAAGGATGAAATGGTATCTAGAACTACAAATAGTACATAAGAAGAAATTAACTGTTATACATTACATAGACTATACATTCTTCTCAGTACTCCATGAATTTTTTTCTAAAACAGAACACACATGTCAATACATACAAGAAAATGGTATAATTTCCTATATCCTAAAAGATCACAATGAAAAAAAATAGAAACAAATGGTTGAAGAAGTGGCTCAAGTTATAGAGTGTCTGCTTAGGAAACACAAAGGCTTGAATAGTTATGCCAAGGAAGGAAGGAAGGAAGGAAAGAAGGAAGGAAGGAAAGGAGGGAGGGAGGGAGGGGCCAGGTACCAGTGGCTCATGCCTGTAAAACTCAGGAGGCTGAGATCTAAGGATCACAGTTCAAAGCCAGCCCTGGCAGGAAGTCTGTGAAACTCTTATCTCCAATAAACTTCACTGAAAAAAACTGAAAGTGGTGCTGTGACTCAAGAGATAGTGTGCTAGCCCTGAGCAGGGATAGTGCTCAGACCTTAAGTTCAAGCCCCTTAACTAGGAAGAAAAAAGAAAGAGGAGAGGGGGCAAGAAATCCACAGCAAAACCAATTCAAACACAGAGAATAAACAACACAGTTTTGAACAATTAACAGATTGTTGAATAAGTCAAAAAGGAAATTTAAAGAAGTATCTTAGATTCAAATGAAAATAGTACAATAGTACCTGAACTTCTTGGGACCCAGCAAGGGCAATACTAAGAGGAAAGTTTATGGCTATGAGCACCCACATCAGAAAATGAAAGCAATCTCAGTGAACAGCTTGCTGATACAGTTTCAGCTCTTTGAAAGACAAAAACAATGCAATCGCAATAGTAGCAGCGGTGGCTCACGCCTGTACTCCTAGCTACTCAGGAGGCTGAGATCTGAGGATCGCGGTTCAAACCCAGCCCGGGCAGGAAAGTCCGTGAAACTCTTATCTCCAATAAACCACTAGAAAACCTGAAGTGGTGCTGTGGCTCAAGCGGTAGAGCGCTCGCTTTGAGCTGAAGAGTGCAGGGACAGCACCCAAGCCGAGTTCAAGACCCACGACAGACCAAAAAATAAATATATACATAAACAAACAAACAAATAAATAAATAGCAGACAGAAAGAAATTATAATTGTTAGAAAGTGCCAGGTGCTAGTGGCTCATGCCTGCAGTCCTGGGTACTCAAGAGGCTAAGAGCTGATAGCATGTTTTGAAGCCCTCGGGGCAGGAAAGTCTGAGATTTTTTTTTTTTTTTGCTGTTAATGATTCTCTTTATTTTTTTTATTAAGTTTTTTGTTGTGAATATACTTTACAAAGGGATTACAGTTACATGAGCAAGGTAATAAGTACATTTCTTATTAAGCATTGTTGCCTCCTCCTTTGTTTTTCCCCTACCATCCTTTCTCTCCCACTTCCACAACTACACCTCCACCCCTATCCCCCCATCCCACCCACCCCCACCTAAATTGTAAAGTTCGTTTTTCTACGTCTTGTACATCTCATTGTTGCAATGGGTCAACTTATAGCCCTAAACAATTTGCTTTTTTCCCTTCTCCTCCCCAAATTATACCAACATCAAATACAGTGAAAACAGGGCTTATACCATGGAGGAGAGACATACAAAGCAACAAAAAAATCACATGGTACCTTATAAATATGTTAGAAACAATAGCAAGAAAGGAAAATCACTTGTGTCCTTATCTTGGGGCTCATTTCACTTACCTTCATCTTTTTTTTTATTTGCCGGTTGTGCGGCCTAAACTCTGGTCCTGGGCTTTGTCCCTCAGCTCTTCAGCTCAAGGTTAGCACTCTACCACTTGAGCCACAGTGCCACTTCTGGCTTTTTCTGCTTATGTGGTGCTGAAGAATTGAACCCAGGGCCTCATGCATGCAAGGCAAGCACTCTACCACTGAACCACCTTCCCAGCCCTTAACTTCATCTTATCTGGTCATATGTACAAGGCTTTTGACTTTTTCTACTTGCCCCGGACATATACTAGTTATTGCAAATAAGGGAAACCATGGGATCTGTGTTTCTTTGGGCCTGGCTTACTTCATTTAATATAATTTTTCCAAGTCTTTCCTTTTCCTAACAAATGGGGCAATGTCATTCTTTCTGATAGAGGCTCTGGAAAAATTAGGAATCCATGGAACATTCCT